CTGCCTGAGTGTGACAGGGTGCAGCGCCCCAACCCCCTGATCCGCCCTGCTCTGTGTGTGACAGGGGGTGGTGCCCCAGTTCCCCTATCGGCCCTACTCTGTGAGTGACAGGGGGGAGCTCCTCAACCCCCTGATGGCCCTGCTCTGTGCGTGACAGCGGGGAGCTCCCCAACCCCCTGATCGGCCCTGCTCTGTGAGTGACAGGGTACGGAGCCCCAACCCCCCTGATTGGCCCTGCTCTGAGTGACGGGGGCAGCGCCCCAACCCTCTGATCTGCCCTGCTCTGTGCGTGACAGGGGGTGGCGCCACAACATCCCCATCGACCCTGCCTTGAGTGTGACAGGGGGCGGTGCCCCAACCCCCCAATCGGCCCTACCCTAAGCGTGACTGAGGGTGGCATTGACCTCCCGATCCGCCCTGCTCTGTGCATGACGGGGCGGCACCCCAACTCCCCAATCGGCCCTGCTCTGAGCCTGACCAGGGGCTGCACCTAGGGATTGGGCCTGCCCTCTGCCACCCAGGAGCAGGCCTAAGCCAGCAGGTCGTTATCTCCCGAGGGGTCCCAGACTGCGAGAGGGCACAGGCCAGGCTGGGGAACCCCCAACCCCCTGAGTGCACAAATTTTTGTGCACCGGGCCTCTAGTTATGAAAATAATATGCTATAATTATAATCTAAGAGTACAATCTTATTTTCTATAATAATATTCTACTGTGGAAGTTTTAAAATATGTGTTTTAAATAATTACATCATATGTGTTGAGTCAACTTTAAATTTTTCAAAACAGCTATTTCTTTTATATAGTAGTCATATATCTCATATTTTTTAGGACACTTTGATCTTAGATATGCCATTCCATTTGAGGGACATGCAAAGAAATATCTCTCTAAGTCATTACTTTTAATTTTTTTATTTAAGCTATTGAAAGATAATTAAATTACAGGATTTGCTTCAAAATCCGTCTAGCATTGATTTTAAAAATAAAAAGTGAGCCAAACCGGTTTGGCTCAGTGGATAGAGCATCGGCCTGTGGACTGAAGGGTCCTGAGTTCGATTCTGGTCAAGGGCATGTACCTTGGTTGCGGGCACATCCCCAGTGGGAGGTATGCAGGAGGCAGCTGGTCGATGTTTCTCTCTCATCAATGTTTCTAGCTCTCTATCCCTCTCCCTTCCTCTTTGTGAAAAATCAATAAAATATATTAAAAAAATAAAAATAAAAAAATAAAAAGTGAGATACATATAACACTAAAAATAGCACTTTTTGGCATCATGGTTTTCACATGCCTTAATACCAATTGAAAATTCAGCCTGGCTGGTGTGGCTCAGTGGTTGAGCATGGATCTATGAACCAGGAAGGAGGTCACTGTTCAATTCCAGGCCAGGGGACATGCCTGAGCTGGGGGCTTGATCCCCAATATGGGTTGTGCAGGAAGCAGCTGTAAATTTATTATCTTTCATCATTGATGTTTCTATCTCTCTCTTGCTCTTCTTCCTCTCTTAAATCAATAAAAATATGTATTTTTTAAAAAGAAAGTTCAAAAAACATGAAATATATTTTGAAAGTGTTTGCTTGACATATCTACACTAATAAAAGAGAAACATACAAATTGGTGTCACTCTGCTACGCCCACCAGCCAATCAGAGGGACTATGCAAATTAACTTAACAAAAAAAACACGGCAGTTAATTTGCATATGCAGGCACAGAGTGAAGACTGAAGGTTCTGGCCAGAGTGAAGACTAAAGACTCAAGACTAAAGACTTAAGACTGAAGACGCTTGGCTTCTCCAAGCCTTGCTGCGGCCGGAGGGGAAAAGCCTAGCCTAGAGGCTTGGCTTCTCCGCTGTGGCAGACCAAAGG